TGTTTATGGTGCGAAGAACTTTAACGATGACATCACATCGTATCAAAGTGCTGTAAAACTGACGTTTGACCACTTTACTGTCCACTCTGTTCATCAAGCTCAGACTCTGTTTACGACCGGTCGTTTGTTCCATTCTCCTCCTGAAGTTTCCTCTTCGCCTCAGGTCACATGATCTGATGGCGTTGTTTTTGAAGTGACCTGTGAAGAGTTTATGGAGTTTCCAGTCAACAGCTTCATATTTAGTCCGCACCAGAGCAGCTAACCTAAACTGGGCTGATAGTCGCTGGGGAAAGACGGTGGATGGGGGGGTACCTGGGGGCCCAGCGTTAACCCTTGTTCTGCATCATCTCCTCCTCCTCCTGTTCCTCCTCTTCCTCCCCCTCTGTGTTTACTTTACTTCCTTCAAGAACTTTTCTTCTTTTTCCACTGCTTCAGTGGAGCTGGAACAACGACCTGGGCCCTGAGGTGACATCATTAACACCGAGGACACCAGGACACCAGGACTAAATCCTAACTGAGGAAAAACTTTGGAAGACACTGGAAAAAAATGTCAGAAACAAAAGAATTATCTGAACTGTGGAAAAAAAAACTCCATCAGAAGAAAAAAAATTGTGAAAACACAAAATCACCAAGGAAAAAACATTTGAGACTAAAATAAACGGATGACAAATTCACTTCCTTTTAAAGAAGAAACTAGAAAAAAAAAACCCAACTGAAACTGAATCCTCTGAATAACACTGAAGTATCACAGACGAGTACTGAGTACTCAGGAGTACTCCACCAAATACTCACAACAACAACTTTAAATGTATATCAAAGAAAGATCAAAGATCCTAAAAAATCTTCAATGAATTCTAAGAATAAATAAAAAACACAACAATGAGCCAAAAAGAATAAACTTCACAACAAAGTCTTTGAAAATTGACAGCTGAAAATAATTATATAATTAAATAAAAGCTACACCTCTGAAAAACAACACCATAGAGTTCAACCAAACATTGGAAAAGTTGAAAAACAACTAAAATTATAAAATGTGGAAAATATTCTCACATCATGTTGAATGAAAGAAAGAAAACGCACCAATACACGTCCAATTTTCTTTCTCAAAACTAAATAAACTTAAAATCCTTTAAAAATAATCATGTCATGAGTACCATAGTTTAAGACCCCCTATTGTACTAGATGAAATATTTAAAGTGCCCAGGTGGGGGGCAGTAAAGTAAGTCACATCTACAGGTCAAGTCCAAAGAAGTGAGGCTAGGCATGTTAGCATGTTAGCTTAGCCGAGCCTTGGTGAAAGCTTGCTGCTACACAAACAAAGTCAGAAACTATCGATACAACAGGAAGTGAAATGATGTCATCTGTGACCAGGTCGTTATTGGTTGGTTTGAACTGACAATCACGCACACTCACACACACACACACACATCAACATTAAGAAGATGGAAATTAAAAATAAAATAAAACAAAAATGGACTGTAGGTGTTGGACTGTCTCTGTGTAGAAATCAAACATCCACCTCTCCTCGGCCTCGGGCAGCTGGAAGTCATTACATACACACACACACACACACACACACACTGTGACTGTTTCCCCACATTATGAACGTCTTCAGCGCCAACTGTGTCAAAATCCAACTTACAGAGAGTCTCAAAAATCCAGAGCTGATCCAGAATCTTTCACTCATCATCTGTATCAAAGACCAAAGATCAATTAATCGATCAGTTATTTCATCAATAATACTCAGCAGGACGTTCTAACGATTTAAAGAGCAAAGACAGAATTTGGAGAAGTTCAGTTCTTCAGGTGACGTCAGGTTGGTGCTGAGACCTCAGTCCAGGACCTGGAACAGACTGAGGATCAGATCCAGGACCAGGTTTTTAATGAGTGGAAACTCCAGCAGAGAAGAAGCACTGCTGCTGTCACTGCTGCTGTCACTGCTGCTGTCACTGCTGCTGCTCTGAGGAACTTCAAAGACGTAGTGATGCAGGAACAAACAGGAAGAACTCACTTCTGCTCGGAATTTCCCAAGAAAATTATTATCATTTGTCATTTTACAACAGTCAGATATCCCTGAGGTCAGTGAACGCCCCATCGTCTGTAATACGTTCACTGAAACCTTCAGAAATTATTCACCAAAAACATTTGTAGAGTCCTCATTCAAATTCACCGGGCTGTAGTTTAACAGTGCGCTGAAACCTCAACGGGTCAGTGAACGCCTCACGTACTGTGGTGAATACAAGAAAAAATAATTTCAAAAGAGGCCAATCAAAACACTAAAATAATGGAAAATTGGTCTTTAATAAGTAGATAAAATTAAACCTCAACAGGTCAGTGAACGCCTCGACATTAAGGTCACTGAACTGCTGAGGATTCACTGTGTTGGTCAGAGAGAGTGAGGCGTTCAGGGCCGGTGCCTTCCTCACATTATCATGTCTCCTTTTATAAAAACTGTTTATTTTTGGTTTTCCGTTTCCTCCCTGATTATCTGTGTTCTCACGTGAACCGCGGACAGGTGATGACCTCAGATTGACCCACGTCCTGTTGGACAATGACAGGACATCGTCCATCTGCTGTCACAAAATTCATAATCAGGTTGTGTGGCCGTGGCGACAGGATTAGCCCAGGTTTATCAGCTGAACTGATGTGTTCAGAGTCAGCCGGGTTAGTTCAGGAACTCTGTAGTACAACATTGCAGCCAGTAGGGGCACTGTTTAGTTTAGTGACGGACCTTGAGTAAAGGAGTTTCATTCACTGAAATCATTTTTGACATATGTTTATGTTCGTTATTGGATATTTTATTTTTGTTGTAAATACCAAAAATTTAATTTTCAAGTTTTTTAAACATTCAAATTTGCTTCAGTGCAAAATGTCATTTTTTGGCTTCATTTCCATCACCGTGTTAAACACGTAAAAAATTACCCACAATCCTTCGCTCTTCCAACTACACGGACACAAACATACATCCATAAAAACTGCTGCCATGTTAAAATATTGTTTGATCATCAGTAAACGCCCACATAAAAACTGCTGCCATGTTAAAATATTGAAAATATTGATTGATCATCAGTAAACGCCCACGAAAACATCAAAATTAATTTACCAACAAGCACCGTCCACACACCAACCGAAAAGAGTGGCCGTCGGATTGGACAGACAGCGACCTCATCGATGCTGTTTGCTGTCCACCCTCAGGAATCGAGTGGACTTCTGTCTGACCATGTGATGCTGCTTCTGTGCGTCCTGAGCCTCCAAGATGGCCGCCTGCAAGGCCTGAGGGCAGAGTAGGGGGCGACACAGAGATGGAGGAGAGAAAATTATGATAACACACTCACAGACTCAAAGGAGTATATGTGTGAGTGTGTGTGAGTTACCTGGGCTGTGAAGGTGTCTCCCATCTGGATTCTCCTCACAGACTCCTCGTCTTTCTTCGTCAGCTTTAACTTCTGCTGCTCCTGAGGAACAAACAGGGTTCAACACCACAGACGACGACATGACTCGGCTACACCGAGGGGGGAGGGGTCAGAAACTATCGAAATGAACAAAAACACTCCTAAAACGGTGACGACGGACCCGAAGCTAAAGCTCTGAGTTAGCCTTCTGTTTAGATGAAGGCAGAGTTTTTGGGCAGAGAACTGAACGGGTCGCAGAGTGAAGAGGTTTGAAAACTTTTCAACAGCACTGGTGTAAACTGTGCTCCTTCTGACCGTGCTGGAGAAGCTAACTGAGCTAAGTGGCGTTCTACAGTTAGCCATCTCCATCTTTTCGTACTTCTCTTTCGAGTTTAACAGCTTTATACGAATGCTTTATCTCTCGGTTTTCCAAACTTCCAATGCAAATTTTCCCTTAAGTATGTTAAGGCGTGGTTGACACAGCACCACATACAGGCCTAGCATATGTACTACAGGGACCACAGTCCTTTAGCTCAGTTTAAACACTGAATGTGTTTGTACCAGATCTACTGTAGTCGTATCATATCGAATTGTATCGTATCGCAGCCGATAAAGCGATCTGAGTGATCAAATACCATAAAGTTAAGTACAACTTTCCAAACACATTGACCCAAATAGTACACATACGTATATTACCACAGTACTAGGTACTGAATATGACAAAGGGATTTTAATATTTTTTATTTCATTTTCTCCAACTTTTCTTTATTTAAACCCTAACCTGTTCAGATGAGCTCAGGTTTATCTGTGGTAACTAGTCTCCCTCAGTGGTGTAACGTCAGGACTGGTCACTGGGTTATGTGGTTACCTTGCAGTAGATCTTCAGCTCAGCCCCGTTGACAGTGGGGGGGTTGTAGAACTGGTCGAACAAACACTCCCACTCTTTGTTGAAGTGATTAACAAAGTCGATCTCCTTCACACACAGGACTCTCCTGCACACACACACACACACCACACATACATGAACAATAACGCATTAAAGTGTGTGTCTGTGTGTGTCCGGTGCGTGTGCTGACCTGTTGGTGACGATGATGGTAGACTTCCTGTGTCCAGGATACGGAGAGTGTTTCCTGAACACCTCACCGTCCAACTGTTTGACTGCGGACTTCTGTGAACACACACGCACGCTTTTTAAACTATGTCCCCACAAGTACAGCTAGACCTGAAAAACACGAGCCCAGCCAGCGTTCCCTGTGAGGACACAGTGCCCCCCTACGGCCACATTCTGTCACTACAGCAGCTGTCCTTCCAGACTTCTTTATGTTCATTATTCTGACACGTGACCAGATGTGGAAAATGCTGATGAAGAAGATGAGGAGAAAGAAAAGGAGGATGGAGACAGATGTTCCAGAAGGTTCTGGTTCTGGATGTGAGAACAACCCACGTGACTGGTCCTGGTCCTGGTCCTGGTCCTGGTGCCTGAACCAGACCTGATTACTAAATAAGAACTCAGATGGTTAGAGTGGTTAGAGATCCTTTTATTATTTATTTTAACACAGATATTTGTTTTCTTTTGTCTTGAAACAATTCTCTCTCTCTCTCTCTCACACACACACACACACGCACACGCACACGCACGCACACACACAGAGAGTTTTAAACAGTTAACGATGAACAAACTAATGAACTGTGGGTGAAAATCTAACAGTTGTGAACAGAGTCGTCACATCCTGCTGCCACAGCTTTAATGCATCATGACGTCACCCCCACATCAGTGGGGGCCAGATGTCCTAATGTGGTCGTTTGAAGGTTCTGCGCCCCCCACCCCCCACCCTCCACCCCGGTGATGCGACTACAGACAGCTGGGCGTGTCAGAGGCGTTGCATTGACAGACGTCAGAAAGCATCAGAAAACGGTGTTAGTGAGAGTCAGGTTTATTTTACAGGTAGGTCAGCACAGAGACAGGACAGAGGTCAAAGGTTATGCTGATGATCCGAACGCAGATGCTACAAAAATAGTGAGAAAAGTTTTTCGTCACCAGGTAAGAACAAAAGACTCATTTGATTTTATCGTCTTGTTGAAATGAAATAAAGAGAAACGACTGTAGAAAATGTTGTCTAGAAATGTTAGAAAAAAAATCAAAACTTCAAATCTAGTCTCTGAGATGAACGGTGTTACAATCTGCGCATGCAAATATATCTGAGAACACAAATTGCTTATAATAATAAAGCCCCACTATATGTATATAATATACACCAATATAATAATATATCTGAGAATATATACTGTACAGGTCCAAAGTCAAAACCCTGTTTATTCCTCATCCGGCTGCATGTGAAACAAAGAGGAGAAGAAAGAGAAGAGGAGAAGAAGATCAGAGAGTTCAAATGAGACAAACAGCATCGTCACATCCACTCCTCATCACACATTTTCATTTTTAGCCATTGGAGGGGAGAGGGGGGTTACTGAACTCACGACAGACAGACGGCAAAAACTTTCAAACCTGGAAAAGGTCGAAGCCTTGGGACTCGTAGAGGTCATAGGGTCGGATGATCCCGTCCTCCCTGATCAGGCGAACCGGTCGCAGTTTGGTGACTTCCTCCGTGGACTCTGCCACTCTGCACACGTGCACACAAACAAACACACACACACATATGTTTAAACTCAATTTGTTTTATGATGTCATTTACACAGGTGTGTCCAAAAACTGGCCTGCGGGCTGGTCATGGTACACCACATGAGTGACCGATGACTTATTCGTTGAGATTTTTTCACTTTTGTGACATCTGGTGACGTAGTACAGTAGTAAGTATTATTGTGTATTTTATGTATTTTTCATAATAACAACATTATTTTGTTAATTCAGTTAAATTACTTATGTTCACTTTTCCTTTATTCTCTGCCTATTTTTCAGTTAATTTTAATAATCTTTAAAAAACAAACAAACAAATTATTACTGAATTCTATTTTCTGAATTCATTATTTTATTCTTTTTAAGTCAATTGTTTACTTTTCTCTTTTTTAACTAATCTCCTCCACATGGAGTTTTAATATGTATACATATATTTTTGCAAATCCTTTTGTTTGTTTTGTTTGGATTGAAGGACAAATAAACAAAAACATTTTCCTACTGGACAAAAACAGGAACCGCATATGAGATATATTATATTAAGATGTTGGATGTTAGAAACTCATGCGTTCGGAGTAAAAAAAACCAAACAAACAGCGAACCATTCAAAAACAAACAGGAAGTGCCCACTGAGGCTCATGGTCAGGGAAGTGCACACGATGCTGTTATGGACCACAGTCCACGTGGGAAATCTCACCTTTCTTGACCTCTAGAGGGACAGCGTGAAATAGTAACGGTCAACAGGTTAACAGGAAGTGACCAAAGCGTCACATGACGTATGGAGGAAAGGGAGCATGGAGAGACTGAGGCTGCTGGGAAATGTAGGTTCAGACACAAGCAGGTCCTCAGTGCAGTGTTGCTGCGATAAAAAGATCAACGGTCACATGACCTCTGCGGCGAAGGTCACGCAAAATCTGCGGAAAAACCTTGAAAGCTATTCGGAGGACACAAGCCTAACGTTCTTCAGGGGTGGAGCTCCAGGAAGGAGTGGGGGCTGGAGGCGGAGTTACAGTGAGGGGCGCTGATGATGTCGTGAGTCAGCTGATGTTCATGGATGAGGACACAATGCAGAGACTTACCCAGAGGCCGCTGTGACACGAGCACATGCAAAACGCAAACAACGTGCTTCTGCTGTTGAAGCTCATCTGACCCCCCCCCCACTTCCTCATCACCTGATGACATCATTCATGATGTCATGGTGGCAGGAAGTTTAGGAGCTTCAATTTGTTTTATACTCACACGAAAAACACAGGAGACAGAAAAAAAATTTAAAACAACAAACAAAAACACAAACATAAAAATTAGTGAAGACAACAAACATTTACAGACACACAAACAAAGGAACGTTTCTCTGTGAACAGTACAGTGGAGTCTCTACCTCTGGATGCCCTGGAACGTGCTGCTCGCCATGTCTACGATGCCGCCCGTGGGCCGGGCCACCACGCCCACCAGACCTTTACCGATGCCTTTGAAGAATCCAGCTGCTCCCTCCTTCTTTGCTCCTGTGACCGAGAACAGACTGTTATTAAACTAAAGACTGAAGTAACAACAAGAACTTTTAGAAAGTACAAAGATTTTTGTGAACCAGGAAGACAAACCATTACCTTCCACTGGTTTGGTGACGATGCCCGTGACTCCACCCACAACACCCTAAACACAGATCAGGAGTAATAATTGTGCAAATAAAAACCGTTTTAAAAAGATTAATTTTGCTGATGACATCATCAGATTCCTACCTTCAGCAGACCTTTCCCTCCTTTAGCTAGACTTTCGCCAAAGTCTTTGGGCGGCCGGTTCATCTCCTCCCTCCGTTTCTGCTGGTACTCTTTGTCCATAGTGATAGCAGCAAGACCTTTACCCACCGAACCTGTGATCTTGGACACCATGCCTGCAGCGCCACCTGCAAGTTAACGATAGTCATAATTATTTCAGTATAACAGAGATGACTACAGGAGTGAATCGACTGCATAGAGAAATAAAAATCTAAATGTTTTTCCCTACCAACAGTGTGACCCAAAAGACTGCGGACACCAATCACCAAACCTTCAGCAAACTCTTCAGGACCCTGAACGGCACCCTAAAAAAACACAAAGAAGAACACAGACGCCACATGAATTATCAGTCTGCTGATTTTTTTTCTTTAGTGCTGACAAATCCAGTGTCATGTTTATTTGAAAACCTTGTACCTGGAAAGGTTCGTAAAAAAAGGCCTCCACACCCTCAGACAGACCTCGGATCAGCCCAAAAGGATTTCCTAGGACGTCCAGACCCAGAACTAGAACGTACATCTGCCTCAGGAACTGTTGTTAAAAAAAAAGACAAACATGTACCTGACTGTAAAAATAAGATATATTTTGAAAAAAATGTCCTCAAGGGCAAAATTGAATAGTTATTGACATTAAGTCATGGACCAGATGTTGGGATGTTGCGAGCCTAGGCCGGTAGTTTGAAACCACCTTCACTGTTTTACTGTTGTATAAACAATGGCAGTTAGCTATTGAGTTGAAGAATTTGTGATTTCTCAGGGAAGAAGCAGAGGTCAAAGGTCATTTTCACCTGCTCGGAGTAGTGTCGAATCACCGCCCACATCAACTTGTCTCTCTGGTAAAATTGGTACTTCACCTCGAAGAAGGCCAGTCTGTCAGACACGGAGAAGAGACACTGATGTCACAGCCAATCAAATACTTTACGTAATACTTACGATTTGAACAGAAACAACGTGAAGCTCACTTGAAGATGAGATCGTCCACGTCTGTCAGTGTGGCACCGATACTTTTCAGCAGAAGGTTGAAGGACTGAATGGTCGCGACTTCCTGAGCCGAGTCCTCACCGCTGGAGCCCAGAGACAAACTGAGGTGCAGCTGAAATTGACACAAAAACACACAGTGAAAATGAAGGGACAGACAAACAAGCAGACTTAAACAGTTCTAACATCTCAGCACCTTGATGGGTGAAATGTGGAAGTGTTCAAAGAAGCTGAGTTGTGACGTGTCATTGAGCGAGGCTGCCATCAGCTGAGTCTGCAGCTGCTGCAGGTCCTTCTCAATCAGCCCGCACTGAAACACACACACACACACACACCGCATTAGTCTTCCTCTCAGACAACACCGGCGTTGAACCTTCAACCTGCCTCTTACCTTCTTCCTGCTGGTCTGCAGGTCAGTAGGAGGAGAGAACAGACCCAAGGTGGCTCCCAGAAAACCCTGGTCAACCTTCACCGCCATCTCCTGGACCAGAGCCATGAAGTACCTGACGCACAAACAGAGGGTTGACACAGACAGGTCCAAGTGTGGGGGCGCTGTTGAGCTATTGCATCTCTGAGGATTATACTTACTTGACCTGCATGACGTTGCTGTGCTGGTTGAACCTAGTGATGATGGACAGGTCTATGAATGGCTTTGGTTCTGGAGGAGTGGAGTAAAGACTGGTATCAGCTCACTTTAAACACATGACAGAACCAGAGATTTATGAACACCAACTGCTGGTCCACTGCTGCCTCCTGGTGTCTGGTTTGTGTCATTTTGTGGTTAAAGTTGTACCAGAAGTTCAAACCAACAAAGTTTTCAACATTGAACTGAATTATGAGGCATCTGGTGTGAATGTTCTCATCTTTGTGTGGGTCACTGAATGGTGACCAGTTAGCATCAACATCAGATTAGCTTAGCATTGTTTTTTAACTTTATCTCTTCCTCTTCATGTCAGGACTCACCTGAATCCAGAGCGATTGATTTTGGTGGAGGAACTGGATGGAAGATGATGGGGAATATGCCACCAGGGATCTGGTTGTCCACCTGTAGATACAACAGTCCAGTGAAGGTAGAAGTGTAAAAGGAAGCGGCCGACCTGGACTGTGAACATCTTCTGGTGTTTGTATTTACCTGGAACCAGTGCAGCTGAGCTCTCAGGCTCTTCTGGTGCGGTGACTGTTTAAACTCCACGTTGATCCCAGACAGGAAGTTCCTCCTCACCTGACAGGAATGTGGCTGACGCATCATCATGACAGCTCCACTTAGGTTGACCTGAGGACGGTGACATCACAACGTTGTGGTCATTTAGGGACAGGAAGATTCTGGAAGTGAGGAAATAACCCTAGATCCTGACCTCCAGGTTACTGGCTAGTTTGACCCAGCCTCCCTCCGACTTCCCACTCAGCTGATTCTGGTAGGTCTTCTCCAGGAGAATAATGTTCTTCTGACTCAGAGGCTTCCATCGGTTCTTTGGCTTCATTTCCCAGACAACACCTGAGCTGTGATGTGATGTAGAGACACCTGCTGGTTACTCTTGTATTAACCCAGTTACAATATCCACTAACATGTTAATAATCTACTAGTTTACATGGTAACCATCTGCTTATTAACCAGGTACTAATTCAACTAACTAACTAATTTAATTTAATCGAAACTAGCATAAACCAGATCAGTACCTGGGTAAACATAAAAAGATCTTTCTTCAATTTCTGTGAGTGTAACTGTGCTGCATTCAAATAAACAGGCCCAGGTTTCACACCAAGTTATTAAAATGTGAATTATAATGAGTAAGTAAATTAACAGGTGCTACTTTGCTTATTTACCTCGTATTAACCTGGTGTTAAGGCGTAAATATTGTGTCTAGTATCAGATCCTCACTTGTGTTTTTAAGAGTTTTTCTGTTGTTTAACTCGGTGCTTGTAACTTGGTACTAACCTGTCGCAGAAGAGAAGAAATCTGTTGGTAAACCTGGTAATGATCCTGGTTCTAGTTTAACTTAAATAACTGATAAAAGCTTGATTAAACTGTTAACCACTCTGAAGTCACCAGATCGATCAGCAGTTCAAACTAACCTTAACTAATTATTAACCAGGTATTAATTAACCTTATACTAAACTCTTGGTATATTTAATATCACATCAACCTGCTACTGTAACAAATGTACTTGAAGTTTTGACCTGTAGAGTTTCTGTAAAGTCGCAGTAAAACCTGTAGTGTTGTAGTACCGCTGCCTACCTGGTGATGCCGATGTAGGCGATCTCCTGTCGGCTGTTGTTGTTGACCAGTGACAGTCCGAGGTTTTGCAGAGATAATTTCACTTCTTGCTCAAACTGTTCCAGCTCCTCGGCCTGCCGAGCTTTGGTCACCACGCCAAGGTCCTCAGTGAACAGCACCACCCGCTGGCGACCGTCCAGAAACGACACCCAGTGAATTTGAGACAAGTCTTCACAGGAGAACTGACCCGAATCGTCCTGCGGGGGCAGACAAACAAACAATAAAGTCTATGTGAAAAAACAATTCCTTTATTTTAATAGAAAAAGTTGGACTTTATGCAATGACCATCAGTAACTGACCCTCAGCAGGTCCAGCTCTCCCGTGTGAGTCATGCAGCTCCAGGTCAGAGTTCTGACGCATGTTGGTTCATCCCATACGAACATCTTGGCCTGACCGGGGTCCAGCTGATGGACAGTTGTCGATCCGCTGAGGAAATGGTGGTTTTAATATTTGAGAAAAAAAAACCTAGACATAGATGTGGGTGGAACCTGAGTCTCTGACCTCTGTCTGTATTTGATGGTGACCCAAGGAGTGTGGTTAACCATCAGAGCAGGGGCAGCTCCTTCGTAGTAGTTGTTGAAACTGACGACGGTGGAGTGATCCGAGACGCTTACGTCCACAATGATACCACCGCACTGAAGACAAACAAACAAACAAACAAACATGTCAGTCCAACAAACAGTCCAGCAGCAGCGTGGTGCATAGACCAGTCTCACCCACCATGTCCAGACTCAGCAGCGTGCCGCTGTCCTGGCGGTTAAAGAAGAACAAGTTGGAGGCAGAATCAGAGCCAACCACACGGACGCACAACCTCTCCGACTCGTTCTCTGGCCACAGAGGCAAACACTGCAACGACAGCACGGGTCAGTGACACCACAACAGAGAGTGGAATAGATACTGACCAGTAAAAATGACTGGATGGTTTTTACCTCTGTGGAGGCCACGTAGTGCCACCTGACGGATGTGTGCTGGCTGACCTCGCCCACTTCGAGCTCATACGATGATTTGTTGACCAGGGTGTAGAACGGACTCATGGTAACGATCCTGGTCAGATTGAAGCTGCTCATGCCGATGCTGATGCCCACCTGGACCACACGGACATCATTCATCAATCTGATCCACAGAGACATTCCCACTAGTTCCACACCCACCACACCAGCAATAAAAGATTTACCAGAAAGTCCAAGTTCTGGGCGGGGCAGCGGACGCAGCCGTAGCTCCCAACGGTGTCAAGAGAGAAGCCATCAGACCAGGAGCTGGTGGAGACAGACAACTGGATCTGGAACAAAGTCCAACAAAAGTTTAGTCATTAAAGTTCAGTTAAATTCAGTGGTTCTCTTCTGAGAACTTCCTGCTCTAAGGGTTCCTTCTTCTGTTCTAGAGCCTTCTTCTCTGTCTTTGCTCCTCACCATTGTCATCCTCACAGCTGCTCCTCAGTGTTCTTCTAAATAAAAGGTTTGACTTTCAGCCGTCTCACCTTGTTCTTGCGGAACAGAGTCTTCTTCCTGAAGGAGAAGAGGATAACGTCTCTGTAGTCGGCCGGGTGTTTGACGCTGACATCCTCGGCTCGGTACTGCAGCACCCTGGACGTCTTGTTGATGATCCAGTAGGGACTGAACAGTGACAGCAGCAGATTGCTGGGGGTCCTGACCACGTGGACGTTCACGTCCACTGTCATGTTGGTGTCCGTTTCACAGGTGAGACACACAGAGAAGAACTCTGGTAATTCCTGTTTGATACTCAGATGTCCGTGCCAGTCGCGTCCCTGGTACCTCAGCAGAACCAAGGACAAAACCTCGCCAGAGATACAGGCGTTGACCAGGTCTGATGTACTCCCTTCAAAAAGATCGTACGAGTCTGTGGATCTCTGAGGACGAGGAGAAGTTTTGGATATTAGAAGTATTATTAACAATAACAAACTTCATCGGTTTGTTTATTTAAATCTTACATCATTATATCAGATATTGGCAAAAAGTTAATATCGGTCATCCCTACTTTATACTTAAATTCACTGAACTCAGGATTTAATATTGATACAGCCTAATAATGTGCAGTACTTTGTGCTAGTGTTACTTAACCTGTCTGTTAAGGTATTTATATATTTTACCTCCATCATGTAGCGAACAGTGTAGGGCATCAGATTACGCAGCGTCACCATTGGATGGAGGTGGATAACGTAGGCGGGATCCCAACCGTCCTCTCCGTGGCTGGTGATGTGTCGCAGCTCATCAGGAATGGCCAGAGTGCTGACCACTAGTGGGAGGAGGCCACTGTCTGTGGCTAAGCACTGCAGGACTGCAGCCACCTCAGAGCTGCGGTGAACCTGCTCCTTCCACGAGATGCAGGTGGAGGACACATTGTACTGACCCTCCAGTGCACCAGCCGGGCACACGAACAGCTGACACCTGCAGGTGGAGGGTAGTATTACGTTAGTTTTTGTCAGGACAGGACGTCAGTGAGGCAGAATGACACGGACCTGTAGGCTTCCAATGAGACGTGGAACTCTGTCTCAGGCTCCGCCATTCCAATACTCTGCATACTCCTGGATGTCGGACAATACTTTAGGACCTTGAAAGGCACCAGGAAGTGATTCTTTATCTATAAAAAAAAAAAATTAAACAATTACTGACAAACAAGAGAAAAAAAGTATAGGACAAAAAGGCTCCTGACACAGGACGTTGACGATAATCAATTGATCCATTGATCGTATGATGAATAATAATGAAGCCAATAAGTCTGTCGGCCTCAATACGTGTCATGAAATAGATGCATTTCTACAGTTTTCTATTTATGGCTGGCACTGAAAGGGCAACCATAATGTTGATATGGCCCCTGGTGAAAGTGAGTTCGACAACCCCCATCTGAGTTCAGGAGCTGAATCTGAGAAGCTTTTATTTAGTCCCGCAGCTCAGACGATCAAAGAGAAATAAGTGAGAAGGTTCCCTCACCTGCAGAGGAGAGCGAATCGTGACGACCTTGTTGCCGTCTGTGGCGTCAACCTGCAGCAGCACAGACACAGCCTCCTGCAGCATCGGCCCCCGGACGTTATAGAGACGACGCCCTGGTTTGTCCACGGCAATGTTAGAGATCTCACTGTATCCAGTTGGTACTGAGATGTGACAAGACAAGGAGGAAGAGTCAGATGTTGAGTTAAAAAATGATGAAATGATGAAGGAAATGAAAAGATTTTCAGTGACATGGCAGCGTCAGCCAGTGTGTTTGGTCTTCAGATACTGACCGATGCTCAGGTTGAACAGGCAGCTCTCCTGACGCTGCAACGCCGACAGGTTGGACATGAACTGCCGCTTGAATGAGGAGTGCTCCAAGTCCACACTCTGATCCACCCCCAGCTCGTGGAGTTTACCCTGCATTGGGGCCCCCACCATTCTGAGGGTAGCACTGTGCTGCAGGATGAGTGGAATCCCCAGAGAGTTCCTGATGGTGAACGGAGCCTTTTCCTTCATGGAGTAGTTGAAGGTGGAAGCAGCACCTTCAGAGAACGCCTGAGTAAAAAAAAAAAATATATATATATATATTGTGTTTTAAATATGGGAAGTAGCAGCACCTGGTGGTTGGGTTCTACTGTAGGGAATACTTGATAACACCTAGTCAGGGGTTGGGTTCTACTGTAGGGAATACTTCCTGATAACACCTAGTCAAGTAGGGATGTAACGATACATCGTCAATTGGTTAAAAATTGATACAAATGTGTGACAATTCTCATTGTTTGAAATAAAAAATGTACAGACATTACTTTTGTGAGGTTTTAGACAATAAGGAACAAAAGGACAGCTCTAGAAAATACCTCTGAGACGTGTAAGAATACTGCTATTGTGGGAAAATACCTTAACAAGGTTAGTATTTTAGTATGTGGTGACAATATACCTTGGCCAGGTTTTGGAAAACGTTAAGGCAGCACTTCGACACGGTGATGTTCATGGTGTCTGTGGAGCAGATGTTGATGGCTGTTCTGGGTTCAGGCAGAATCACAAACTCGTCACCGTGAACTGGAGTCTTGTCTTGTACTGGGTTGTTCTTCATCTACACCAACAAACCAGGACATTTGAATGAATGACTTCATGTTGGTCACAGTGATGTGTTCAATACGTGGTGTTGGGTCTACCTCCAGTTCCAGTTTCCACCGTCGACTGCCACCGTCCACCCTCTCGATCAGTGGTTCCCAGACCGCTTGAATCTCATTGAAGTAGTTCACCTGCAAGTACAACACCGGGTTACTTCGTCAAAGTATTTTATACTGTGTATTACTAAAAAGGATTTTCAGTTGTGGGCACACGTGTTTGAATGTGCGTTTTATTAAATTTTTGATCCTTGTTGATGTTTGAGTTCAGTTGAAGTATTTGTGTACTTCAGGTGTGACTCACCTCCAAAGTCATGTTGGCTTTCACCTCCAGCATAGACGACCAGTTCTTGGCAGCTCCAGTAAACGAGGACTCAGCCAGCAGCAGAGGAACCGTCTGATGACCCAGACCGGACTCCAGCGTGACCTGGATCACCTGAGCACAGCAGACCAGACCAGATGAGTGTGGGCGTGGTCTCCTTACAGTTGTTAAAGTAGTGACATGTCCAGGTACCTTGACTTCAGCGTTGAAGCTCTCGCCCCGGTTGCGTTCATCAGGTTCTTTGTAGCTTTCGGTGATCTCCATGGCCTGTTCCACCCCCAGGAACCAGAAGTTACAGTCATAGATGTTCTTCACCGACCACAAGTTCACCACTCCGGCTGTGTCTGGACTCTGCTCCTCAGGTGGCTTTGGTGTCATGGCCGCTGTGATCGTCATCACTGTGTTGATGATGAACGGTGACACCTGCACGAGAACATGATGAGGTCACTGATGAGGTCACCGATCTATTTTCAGAAGCTGAAACCTTTCTCACCTTGACAATGATTTCCTCCACCAACACTGAGCCGCTCAGAGGCTGGTTGGGCTTGGTTTTTGTTTCTAAGGTGACAGAGCAGGGTCTCAAGACCTACGAGAGAACATCAAAGATATGAATCATAGGACGAATATAGATCTGGTTAAGTCACCAAGTGACCCCGCAGTCAGACAATAAGTCACGTGATGTCACGGTGGCATTCCAACAAGTCAAGTTCTGATATTTAGTCTCTGAATGGCTGAATGCAACAGAGCTGAGTTATGGAAGTGACATCTGCACTGACCCCATTGGCTATAATTGACTACTATTAATCAATGGTCTGTACAGGTATGTCATGTGGTAATGTGTGTGTGTGTGTGTGTGTGTGTGTGAACCACCATTTTGAGTTTTAGAACCTACAATCTGATTTATTAAAATCAGAAAAGCAGTACCGTCTGTGACATTGTTTATATCACAAACCCAGTAGTCATGTCAACTAACCATGTGAACTTGTTAAGTTCTGTGGTTCTACTGATGGTGACCTGCCTGGCTGGACTACTCACAGTGGTGACGGCCTTGTCCATCTGGTTCCTGATGAGTGGACATGCCAGGACACTGAGGTCTCTCAGTTCTGCCTTCATGCTCTGGCTCCCATCGTCATCGAGCTGCAGCGTGATTTCAGACTGAAAAACTGCCACCAGTGCAGGGGCATCTGCCTTCATCAGGCTGGCGACAAACATCACCTCAGGGTCGACCACCACCGCCCGCACACGGGTCTTCAGCTGGGCTCCTGTGGAGAGTGTAGATCCATAATATTACTGAGGTGGACTGGACAGACCATGCTGCTGCCAAGGTCCAGGACTGACCTGTCTTGGTGTCACTCCGAGGTTCGGCTGTTTGTCTCAGTGGTAGTCTGTCACTTGTTGCCACAGCAGCAGCTGGAGCAGAACTCTGAGGCACAGCTTGCAGGAAGAACTCTGCCACGGCCATCAAGAACTCTACGCTGGCGCAGACGTAGAGTTTCTGCAGGACCGCCGTCACCTCCCGCTCACTGCTGTCCTGACGGTACTGCACCTCGATCATGGACCCTGACGTCTCCTCATCTCTGCGCCCGACCATCCTGCACAGACATCCTGGTTCAGATTACCATCAATGTAAATCTCTGATCAGTAGAGGGCAGTCCTCACCTTGATGTCACTCTCTCCAGGCCCGTCCTAAGGTCGTCCAGGGTGCAGTCCATCAGCTCCATGGTCAACTCTATGTTACCACCACTTAGAACCTGTCCTGAAGTCCTTAGCTGCTGCAGCATAAAGCCCCCGAGCCTGAGGTCCTCCTGGTGCTGCAGGACAGCAAGCTGCAGGAACCAGTGAAGATAAGAACTAGTTAAACACTAGTATTGCAGTATCAGCCAGACCATGAAACTAGTTGATGAAAAAATCTTCAACCCTAACTTCACCAGGTCCAGTCAGAACCTTCATGAACCCATGAAGTTCCAGGTGTTGGACTCTGACACTGACCTGGGGTTTGTTACCGCTCCTGAACAGAACCAGACCCAGAGATTCGATGTTGAAGTTGAACCTGACCGACTCCACAGACTCCTGAGCCGACTCTTTGGTTTCCGTCCCACTGGTTTTTCCAAAGTCGTCTGTGAAAACAAATCAAACCAGGCCACGCTTACATCGCCACCTGCTGGTGGTTTGCCACAGCAACTCTCCTCTCAGACCAAACTTCCTGCCTGTGATCATGTGACTGTAATCTTTCTGCTGACCTGCGGGGGCACTTTCAGCTGCTTTCACTCTCACACTGGTCTCCTCCAGTTTGGGGGCGCTGTTCTGTAGACTGCCAGCCTCACCGAGGTTCTCCATCAGGATCTGCAGCAAGACTTTGAGATCCTCCTGACTCAGCGCCACCTGCAGGAAAACAAACACAGTTTACAGTATGGTCTGTCACCACACAGTGTCCAAGCTCCCAGTGATCTCTATTCTATCTATTTCTATCTGTCTGTCTCTCTGGTCTATTATTCACAGTATCCATCTACTGTGTGAAGTGCAGACGTGTCACATGACCACAGACTGTACCTGAGGATGGTCACATGATGTCTGGATGAAAAGAGAAGATGAAGAAGGTTTAAAACTCTGGTGGTCTGTCTCTCTGTCCGTCTGGGAGTCAGTCAGTCTGACATTCAGTCTTTTTGTGAGTGAGTTGTTTCTTCTTATCCTCTCCACACTCTCCTCTGAGATGAAGAAGGAGGATAAGATGGGGAAGAGGAGGCTCCCCATCTTTCCCTCCTTCTTCAACCCCCCCTTTGACTTTTATTTCTTTCTTCCTCCTCCCCCTGTCTCTATCCCTCTCTCCTTGTCCACGATCCACCACTCACACCATGCCGTCTCCCCTCTTCTCACCTTCATAGGCTTCAGATATCCGTCCACCTCGACGGCAGGGATCTTCTTGAACCAGGCAGCAGAAACATTTCTCTTGACGTTGAGACCCAGGTTGACGGGCTCCAGCAGTTCACTGCTGAGACCCTCAGAGTTCTCAGCTGTGCTGGTCCTGGACCCACAGACACAGCAACATGGTCACTTCATCTTTCTTTATAAACTTGAATATTAATGTTTAGACTGAAGACTGACCTGGACAGTTTCAGCTGCGACAGCTGCACCTCGATGTTGTCGATGACGGCAGGCAGCGAACAACCATCTACAGGCAGGAACGAGAAGCTGTTTCTCACTGTGATCAGACCCAGGTCCATCACCAGTGCATTCTGGGAGGTGGACGATTGTGGGACAATGATGAGTGGTGCCTTCAGCTTAGTTTCCAAAGAAAGACGGAAACTCTTCTGAGCCAAGTCTCGGACACTGGATGCGGCCTTCTCTGCTGCCTGGGCCGTGGCTGCGCTCAGAGCCTCTTTAGCCATCTGGAAGTTACTGCTGAAGTTCTTCAGGAAAAAGAGTTTATATGAATTGAATTGATATACTATATTTAACAATATTAATATTTTTTAATATAATAAAAAATATTATATATGGGTGTGTGTGTGTGTGTGTGTGACTCACCAGCAGGGACATAAAGAACTTGTGCAGATAAACCACCTGGATGCAGCCCACATTCAGCTTAATGTGTCCATCAGTCTGTGACGTGTCAGTGTAACCAGCGCCCTCTGTGGCTGTAGGAGTCAGACTAATGGCAAAGCTGAAAACCTCATCACCCACGATTGAGATGGCCTGAAGGACAGAGAGGGCAAACGTTACAGTCAGCCAACACCTGTATTATGGGCCAGATTCTCTGCACTGATGACCGATGGACCAGCTGACCTTCTCGTGAAGGCTTCTGGGATCCACATTAAGAACAATGAGATCCCGAAGGCGGGCAGACACGTGGGTCTGAGGCCCCTGCATGACCAACAACCCATTGATACCTGTGGGACACGAGAGAGAATTTAGAGTTCTACTCTGAAGACCACAGACCAAAACAGGAGCAGTTTCATGTTTGATGATCTGACCCTGAATCTTGATGTCGGCCATGTTGGAGTTCTGGTCACACACAAGGACGTTGAAGGCTCCAAGTGTAACCATCACCTTCAGGTCGATGACCTGACTGTCGGCAGCTAAGGCAGCAGCAGCTAAAACAAGAAACAAACAACAAAACGCTACAGCGTCATGCTAACAAGACAAATAAATGCTACGCTAACTTTCTGTTACAGACTGTGTGTTGATTCTAACCACAGTAAAGATCAATTGTAATAAAGAAAAATATGTAAAAATAATTCTGTTAAAAATGCTTTTCCTCAATAAATATTAGCAACAACAAACACACTTCATGTTTTTTGTACACACACGCGCGCGCACACATATATATATATACTGACAGGACTTGGACACGGTCTTCTCCTCAGTCTTCGGTTTGATCTCTCTGTCTGTGGACACTCTACCATCCACAGACAGGGCAGCAGACAGGAAGTTAATGGTGGAAAGCAGTGCTTCCATGTGTAGCATAAAGTCCAGAGATGTGAAGGTCACCTGGTCACAGGAGGACAGTGGTCAATAAATGAACTATGAATAACAGCCAATGGAGCAGGCTAAGACAGTAACTAACTGTTAGGCATTTATATACCATGTGTAAGTGAAGAATACAATCATAGCTAGGCTGCAGCTAAGCTACAAACTCCTAGCATAATTCAGGTTCAAAGCTAAAATAATGTCTGTCTTTTTTTTTAATTATAGAAAAAAGTACATTATAAAAAAACAGTTTTGTCTTGGATGCTTTGGTTATTAGCATACACTAAAAACACAACAGTTTATTTAGTCAATGATTTTTTTCTAATGGCTGAAATGCAACTGCATGTTCATTAAACTAGAAATGTTGTACATAACATAAGGAACCAATTCATTCAGTTCAGAACCAGACAGTGTAACCTGTTGGTGTGTTTGTGTCGCTCACATTCATCATCTGTTCCGTGTTTTTGTAGGTTGTTGTGAAGGTTGGCGCTAAACGGTTAGCCTGAAGATAAACAAAACAAACACACAGTTGATTGTCGCTCTTTCCCCACTCCACCGCAGTGATAACCCAAACAAACATCAACACAATCTGTTGTCATCACCTTGAAATACTGCACTTTGAGAAGGTCGGCTCCAGATGGCACCGATGAGCTGATGAGACATAAAGGTTCACCACTGGGATCTAAGATGAAGGGAGGAGGAGACTGTTATAGATGCTGTACTGATCATATGACACAGGAATTCTGATGTGTACTACTGCAGTACTGTATTTACTGGACACTTTATCAGGGCACAGAATTAACGTCTCCTGCCCCCAGTTTTTCCAGCAGTATTTCTGTCTGACCTTTGAACTCCAGGCACATCATGCTGATGCTCTTGATGTACGTGGTGGCGCACATGTCAAACTTCCTGACCTTGGTGTCGATGCCAAGCTGAGCCATGAGGAAGACCAGGAAAGGAGAATCCTGCTGCTCCCTGAGTTTCTTTAAGGTCAGCCTCACCTGGACAGTGAGGGCGGAGTCAGTGATGAGAAATACATGACCAGGACCAGGTCATTTACAACAATGAAGTTGGCCTCAACATAGGGTTCACGTTGCTGTGAACTGCATTGACCAGGACTAGGTGAGTCACAGTGTCAGATGAAGTAAAACTCAGGTCAGTCTTTAGGTCTAAGACAGGTTTAATTCTAATATGACTCTCCGGTAAAACTGAAGGGAGTCTCAAACTCAGGTTCATGCATCTCAGTTGATCCACGTCTCATTCAACTTCTGTAAATCTGCTTCTATAATCAGCCTTTATTGAATCTCCCTCTCCTAAGTCCCAGTCCTGTGCTGCCCGTCTTAACAGAGTCTCATTGATCTGCTCTCTGTATGAAATCAGTCTCAGATTAAACTGAGCAGCACTTTGAGTCTGAGGTGATTCTCAGTTAATTCCTGGGTAAAATAAATCTTCCAGTGACTTATAAAAAGGCCACTCATGATGAAATCAATCTGTTTTGGTTTCAGGATAAAATATCAGCATGGGTTCTGTCTCGTACCATCGTCGGTTCAGTCTCAGCATCAGACTGATCTCAGATCAGTCTTTGAGTCTGAGTGGAAGATGAATCACTCACCTCTTTAATTTCAAACGTAAGCAGGACACTGACAGTGTTTTCAGTGTCTTCTCCATTGATGGGCGGAGCCACAGCTGATGTCACCTCCACCTCCTGCCCCGCCTCCTGCACACCCCCTGGGAGAACAAAAACCACCAAAGTGTGAGACCAGCATCATTTTATAATTTTCCAATTTTGTCGTGTCGTTGTCAGTGAACCTACCTTCAGCCATCTGCCTCTTCACATTCACACTGTGCTCTTTACTTCCTTCACCAATGTTTTCCACGAAGGTCTTCATCAGAACTCCCAGGTCTTCCTCACCCAGACTCATCTAAACCACACACACATAATGACTGTCTGGATACAGTTAGCTCAAACTGGACATTTTTGACACCGCTGTTTCTTTAGACGTACATTGAGAGAGCGCAGGACTCCGTGGACTTGGACCGCAGGGACTTTGGTGAACCAGGAAGCTGCCAGGTTTCGGGTGACAAGCAGCTCAAAGCTTATTGGCTGGAGGATCTCGACGTCATGCTGAGAGGTTTCAGTATTTAGGATGGTTCTGAAAAATATTTAATTTTTTATTTTAACTGCTTTTGAGTAAAGTCTCAAACTTCTGGCTCTAGGGCCGTTTCCAGCCCGTGAACCACCTACTGAAAGCCCCGGTCTCCAGTATATAAAGCTTTCCAAAATAAAACATACATTTTGTAGAGAATTTCCCCAAACACCTGAGTAGATCATGACCCATGGTTCAATCCCACCTCTGGTTACCTTGACAGTTTGAGTTGTGTCAGCCTCACGTCCATCTTCTCCATCACAGGCAGCAGAGGTAAACCTTCAGCCGGCAGCAGGGAGAAGCTGTTTGTCACAGTAATCAGACCCAGGTCAACAACTATTGCATTCTGGGAAGTAGATGACTGTGGGACAATGATGAGTGGAGCCTTGAGCTTGATGTCCAGAGAGAGACGGAAACTCTTCTGAGCCAAGTCCCGGACGCCGGACACTGCCTTTTCTGCTGCCTGAGTGGTGGCGGCGCTCAAAGCCTCCTTTGCCGTCTGGAAGTGGTCAACGAACGTCTGAGGAAGGAATGAAAGAAACAGTTACCTTCACAAAACAGGAACAAGAATGGATTAAACAATTAGTCCTTTTTCACAGCAAGTAGGAAGTGAGGTCACACAGTCGCTGTTTATGTGACTGGAAGGGGTAATGGCCATTTTTAAATATGGAGGGGGCATATGTGATGATCAGGGAGGGGTGAGAGGCAAAGCGTGTGTTACAGAGGTGAAGGTGTAGAAGCATTCCTCTGAGGTCGTTAAGAACTTTTGTTTCAATACACGGCCAACCACAGGCCGCTCCATTATCACAGGGTTATTAAGTCAGATAACCTGCTACACTGAATGATATTTCAGCGTCAACAATTAAATCTACTGAATATTTAACCACATTGTTACTCCATGTATCAGAGTATCATCAGGATATAAAGGAACTTTAGAAAGTACTAACTGTATACACAGACTCCAGTACAGGTGGAATTATAACCAAATTAATGACCTTTAATTTAAGACTCAGACTCAATATTATTAAACTTTCCAAGAATTGGACATGGTCTACAACATTCTTCCAAAATGAAAAATACCATCCCACAACTCCTTGCTACATCCTGGAACTTGTATTCCTGGTTATGCTTAAGTCATGCTAATGACTTCTTGATTTTGCGATAAACAGCATGTCACCTAAAAATTGTGTTTCTGACAGACAATTACAGCTGAGATACCCTGGAGTCCTTCAAGGCGCCACCTGCTGGGCCAAAGATTCTGCTTTGATTAGATGTGAGTTTAGCTGAAAAAACTGCTAAAAAACAAAAGTGAAGATAAATGTCTTTAAACAGAAACCAGTGTTTTAAAAATGTTGGTTGTTAAAATGTTGTTAAAATCTGGTTTAGGATTAAACTGGTTGATCCGGGTTTAAAGTTAGGTAAAAAAAGAAAAAAAAATGATGGAGGGGCAGACGGGCTGAAGCAGGTTTTTTTTTTGTTGTACCTCGTCAGCAGGCGTATACTGAAAGCAAAAGGAAGCCTGAAAGAACAGAAGACATCAACAAGACAGGACAGATAAGATAGACAGGAAGTGACGGACAAACACTTCACAATAAAAGTCTTGAACTCATTGGTGAAGGAAAATTGCCCTTAACTGCTTTAACAATTTTAACCACTGACACTGAAACTGAAACGTAAACACAACAACACAGACTCGGGCACAAATGAAAACAAACAACAATAGTTTGTAAAGTGAATAATAATATGAACTGTGTTGGTTTTCTGACCAGCATTGACATGAGGAACTTGTGCAGGTAAACGATGCGGCTGCAGCCCAGACGCATCATCACTCTCCCGTCCACCTTCGACATGTCGGCGTAGCCGTCTCCCTCCGTTGCTCCAGGGTACAGTGACATTTTGAAGCTGAAGAGCTCCTCACCCATGATAGACACAGCCTGGGCAGAGTCATGTGACTGGTCAACAAAGTATTCTTACCACTGACACCATCCCAGAGTTAACCACATCCACAGACCTCCTTATGGACAGTTCCAACGCTCACATCTTTGACCACGATGTCCCTGAGTCGAGCGAACACCTTGGTCTCCTTTGCCTGCACCTGCACTGACGCATCTATTCCTGCAGGGGGAGTCATAGAGCATGATCAGCAGGTAATGATTAAACCAGGCGGTTTAACGATGATTCGTCAGAAATCGGTGTCGTGCCTTGAACTCTGATGTCAGCAATGCTTCGATGGTCGTCGCACACTTCCACATGGAAACAACCCAACACGGCACAGAGTTTGAAGCTGAAGACTCCGCCCTCTCTGGAGCCTTTAGAGGCTGTAAAAAAGATCATCTGTCACACACGAGTCAGAAAGCATTTGAACAGACTGCTGTTAGTCTGCAGTACTGATTTGTTTTGGATTTCAGGTTTCAGTGATTGGTTTCTGCAGTGTCTGTTGTTTAGACATTTCATTGTCTTTGTTTCCTTTTACAGCCTTCAAACTGCTGTTCCAACCTCACCAAGACATCATGTCAACCAATCAAACTCCTGTTCCAACGTCACCAAGACATCATGTCAACCAATCACAGTTCACCTGCACGGCTGGCTCGAGTCTTCTGCACAGCCTTTCCGGCAGTGTCTCGGTCCCTGGCAGCGTGGAGCAGTGGTGAGAGAGCGCTGTTAAGAAAACTTATGGTGGAGAGCAGGGCTTTAGTGTGGAGTAGGAAGTCCAGGGAGGAAAACTCCACCTGGAGACGGGGCAAAGGGCAAAGAAAAAAAACATTGTTCTAGAAAATCTAACCACAGGCAAAAAAAGATCATTAGGATCGAGATCCAAACTCCACACACCTTCAGCATTTGTTCAGTGTTGTTGAACACTGTCTGAAAGTTTGGCCCGTTGGAGTCGGCCTGCAGTGAAACACACACACAGAGTATCACCAATGAATTCCTGCCTCACCCATCAGACTTCTGTTTGATTTGTTACCAAGGAGACATGAGTTTCTTGCCTTGATGAACTCCACCTTCAGCAGGTTGGAGCTCTGCTGCTGTGAGGAGCTGACGAGGTGCAGCGCCGTGCTCCTGCCGTCTGAACAGTAAAGACTGGAGTTGATACAACAGTTACACAACAATCTGAACAAACTTCCATCACAAAGACTCCAAACCTCCACAGTAGCCCAGCGTGACTCCGCCCAGGTACGAGGTAACACACATGTCGTAGCTTCGCATCTTTCCTTCAGCTCCCAACTGACAGATGCTGAAGGTCAGGAAGGTCAGCTCCTGCTCCGCCTGCTGCGTCAGCTCCAACAGCACCTGGATTAGATGTTATCCACATGGTGTCACATGATGAGGTCACATGATGAGGTCACATGATGAGGTCACATGACGGCAGTACCAACCTCTCTAACTTCAAACTTGAAGTGAACGTCCGTGAGCTCCTCGGGATGATCTTCACCTGCTGACTTCTCGCTCACGTCTTCATCAGAATCTGTGTGAAGGCAAATTTTTAAAAAACCTTTTTGTTTAAAATTTAATAAATAACTAAACCTCAGCGGGTACTGACCTGTTTCCATGGCGCCAAGCAGAGCAGCTGACAGGCCACAAACCTGTGGTCGGGACTCTGCCAACGATCGCACCTGTGGAGGAACAACAAGGTCACGCCAACGGGCCAACATTCAACAGACAACAGACCCCCCCTCCCCCCACAGACACCCTCTGACACTACAGTCTACCTTTTCTGTGGGAGTGGAGGGCGTGGAACCCATGTTGGGCAGCGGGATGCTGTTGACCAGTTCAAAAACGTTCTGTATCTTCTTGTCAGAGATCTTCACGTGCAGCAGAGGCAGTTCTCCAGCCACCTTGAACCTGACATCAGAACAAAGACATCAAACCTGAACCTTTTGACAGATCAGACAGTGAGGTAACAGACGGGTCTGTTGGTCAGCGTCCCACCTCGGCATCCTGGAGTCCTTTTCCACCATACACCTGGCCAAATGAACTGTGAAGTCCATGGGCTGAAGAATGTGCTGCCGTGATGAAGCCTGCAGACGAGCAGACTTCCACATTTTACCTGGAAAGAAGAGACAGCTGACGTTAGGAAAACTAATCTTCCCTTTTTACACCTTTTTCTTCACCTGGCTGTGCCTCGTCTACCTGACTTGCTGTAGAGAACCTGAACTCGTTTCAGCTCCACATCAAACCTCTCGTATGCACGGTCCATGATCTCCTCCAGAGAGGAGGAGGAGGACACCGGACTGCTCTGTTTGACACTGTTTAACTTCACAAACATAAACAAACATGGTGCTTGTTTCAGTTGTTTCAGTTTTCAAAATATTATCCAAAACTGCAAAATAAAAATGTCTTTCTTTTTTTAAATAGAAAATGGCAGTTTTTCAAATATATGAACTCTTCTGTCAGGATTCAAAATCTTGAATTTTAAATCTCTCACATATTGAGATAAAATAAAACACAATTGTTAGAACAGTAGAAAACAAGGAAATCAAACACGGTCAATAATCCTAAAGCCAGAGACTGATGTAAATTTTACTGCGAGTCCAAGTAGGGTCTAAGAGAAACAACGATGTCGCAGAAGGAAGCCAGAGACTGATGTAAATTTTACTGTGAGTCCAAGTAAGAGAAACAACGATGTCGCAGAAGAACAATCATCTGAAAGGAAAAGCAGGGTATAATCTGCATAAAAAAGTATTTTGTGGAACAATTCAGTCCAGATGCACTGGTGTCTTGAATTACAGTGGCCTTGGACCATAGTTCCATAGGCCCAGGACCAGGACCAGGACCAGATGTGCCTGTGAAGTGCACCCTCAGCAGAAGAAGGGATACTGACCTGCAGACTACCAAAATCGATGAGGATGAGGTTGGCGTTGCTGCTGTAGAAACCAGACATCGGCACCAGGAGGTAGGACGGCTTCAGGTCGATCCTCAAGTCCAGAACTTTCCTGGTCTCTATTATGTGGGACAAACCTGAACAGACAAGAACCAATCACAGCAGATGTCAGGATCCGATGGAACGGACACATCATTCAGTCCTTTAGTAGTTATAAAAATAATTAGCATAGAATTCATTTTTGTAGAGCTAAAAAAACCAATGTCTGTGTATGAAACGCCCCCTACTGCCTACATAGTGCACTACATGTTTAGTAGGTAGAAAGTCCACTATAGAGTGCACTCAATGTATCCCACAATTCACTGCAAAATGATGGTCACTACCCAAGCCATACGTCCCATCGTGTTGTAGCCGTGACGACATTGCGGCGAGAGAAGAGCACCACCTGTTGTAATTGTGCGACAGTAATGACATCGTTGAGCTGGTGCTGGAGTGACTGAAACTGTTTTCCATTTAACCAGTGACTCCACTTCCTATAACTCCCTATAGAGGGAGTAAGGGGTTGAGTGAGTGACTTTGGACACAGCCAATCAGGTTGGATCCTCTCTTCTTCGCCGTGACCAATAATTCTTCTACATGGATTTGGTGATTTAATAAACTCTGATGCACTGAGACAACACTGGTCCCAAACTGACCTGCAGCTGTTTTCTCCTTGATCTTCTCCAGTTTGGAGAGCGTGGCAGACGTCAGGACCTTCAGATCCACACCTCTGCCTGTCCTGAAGAACTCCACCACGCTGTTCACCGTCAGCTGGAGATCCGACAAGAACACGTTCACACATGAGGAACCAGGATGGAACAATGTGAGAACAACCTGTACAAATGTGATCCAACGGCGGACGAGGCACTGACCGCATCGTAGATCATCTCCACCGGCTGTGAGTGCACTCGGAGGAGTTGGTCAGCAGAACTCTCCTGAGGGTTGAGCTCAAACAGGACGTTGAGGAGCGAAGACGACGAGTCTCCCACTGAAGCGATGAGTGAGGGGACCACGCCCTCCTGCTGCAGACCAGTGACAAACCAGTGCCGCAGCGCTGCCTCCACTCTGCAGTCATGGCGGTAATTCCGTGCCTGGTTCAACAGTAAGACCATGACAGACATGCACGGACCATATGGTCTCCTACCTGAGGGCCTGGGCTCCTGGTCTTTGACAGAGTTTGGTGCTGAGGTCAATCATCTGGATCTTGAGGATGGCTGGGATGTTTGGTTTCTCTCTCACCGTCACTGAAGTCTGTAGCAGTTGAAAGGTCACCACCACAGCGACGTACTGAAAAACACATTAGCGTTAAACGTTAGCCTTAGGAGGATGCTGAAAAATAAAACAAAAACTATCAAGCAAACAGGAAGTCAGCGTTACATGTTTGGGCAGAGCCAGGTTGTGGGAGCTGCCGCTGTAGCCAATGGCAGTGTAGAGTTTCTCCTTCTCCTCCAGCGTCATGATTTCATCTAAACCTGAACCTGAACAGAGAAGAACTCTTCTACCGTTAGATGTTTTTTTTTTTTCAACCATAAAAACATTTCTCTGAGGAGTTACTGACCCTGCGTCTCCTTCGTTTCCTCCTGCTCCTCCTTCTTAGCCTTCCTTCCAAACCAGCCACTAAAGAAACCTCCCCCCTGCTTCTGCCCAGGGGCTCCTTTCTTCTCCACCACCTTCTGTCCTGACCTGATCACCTGAACCAGAACAAGTGGAGGACAGGTCACATGATTTAAGTTTAGCTCCTGTTTAAAAACAGCAATGTCAATTTTACCTCCATCTGCGCCTGCTGTCGGGCCAGGGTGATGTTGAAGACATCCAGAACTTTCTCCAGTTCCTGAATCAGAACAGACCAGAGTCAGTGAGTCCAAAGTCAAACATTCTCCTCTGATAATAGAACTCACTCCCAAAACACTGTCACTGTGAGTCATTGTCATCCTCAAATGTTTGGGTCAGAAAGATTTTATATAGATCAACGGGTGGTTCAACATAGGGAGTGCAGAGGTGCAGTAGGGGCGCTAACATTGTGCTTGTTTAGACTTTAATATGTTGAGAAATAGAAATAAATAAAATGACACTGTGGATCATTTGCTCAGTAATAAGTCGATGAGTTAAACTGCTCTCACCTGTATGTGTCCCTCTGTTTCCTGGCTGCTCTTGCTTGGGTTCAGAAGTCGTGTCTTGTAGGCCATTTTGTAGGCCTTCAGGTGCTGCCTGTGGCGCCAGATGTTGGACCAGGACCACATGGAGGTCAGGCGTCGTACATGGACCTCCAGGATGCTGTTGAAGGCGTACCTCCACCTGAGCAAGGCAAGGAAATCAAACACACCCTTAGACGTTGACCGACTTACAACGACCTGAGTTTTTTGTCATGTCTCACAGCACAGCTGCAGAACCAGGCCCCAGTACTGTATGAGCGCCACCTAGGTTTCCTATGGCAGACTAACAGCTAACATTTGAAGAACAGAATTTCAGCAAACGCACCAGAGTTTGGAGTTCTTGTGAACAGAAACATTTGGACGGAACTTCCTGTAGGGGGCGTTTTTCACCATACAGTCGACAGACGCCAGCAGCTCCAGCATGGACAGATACTGAGGGCAAATACACATGCGTTACAACGTGGTGCTCAACCCCAGGTTTCCTCCCACCCGTCTGTCTCACCTGTCCTCTGTTCATCTCTATGGCGATGTCCTGGACCTCCAGGTGAAGGTCCAGTTTGGGCATGGTCAGTTCCATCTCCGCGGTTGGATTAATGATCATTTTGGCAAAGGCAAAGATGGGCCTGAAGACTGCAGGGGAACAAAGAACAAACAGAGGTGAGGCTTCAAAGGTTGCTGGTTCCAGTACCTTAGACCCGACTGACCGCAGACCCTGAGAACAAACCACAGACCAATCAGACGCTGAGGTCCGTCACTGTGGACGACTTACTGTAGTCGTAGTTGGACAGCTGCTGCTCTGAGCTGCTGATTCCACATTTGAGCTGCGCCTAACGACGACAGAAAGTTTGAATCTTTCTGAATTTTATTTACATTAAAAATATTTTAAAAAATAAAAATAATTACCACAATATCTTCCCGTGAACTTTTGTAAATCATGGGTCCATTGACGTTCCAGTACGCACAGAGTGACTCCAGTCGACACAGCTGAGAAAAACAAACAACAGTCTCGGAATCAGTCACATGATCCTCAGGTTAACCAATCAGATGAGCCGGGGAGGACCGTTACCTTGTTGATGATCTTCGCTGCTTCGTTCAAAATACAAGGTTTCCAGTTTTCATCGGCTGTCTGAAAAGAAACTGGATTAGTCCTGAGAGTGTGTGAACGTTTGTGTAAAAGTGTGTGTGTGTGTGTGTGTAAAAGTTACCTGCAGACTGAGCTCCGACAGGGTCACTCCCAGAGACAGGGGGCGCTGTGGATCTGACAGCTGAAACACAACAGATGTAACAGGATCCACAACTGGTATATAATCCAGAATGAATCCAAACCGGTCTGAACCAGAACAGGTACTAGATGTACTACAGTACACACTAATGTTTTAGGTAAGTGTTTACATTTAGATAAATACGAGCGTTTCTTTTTCAAGCTCTTGTAGACAAATATAAATCTGTTTTTGACAGTACCAGTATCTGGGTCACAGTGGGTCAAACCCCTGGACCTGGTTACTGACCTGGACCTAAACCATCTGGTGTTCTGTTACTTACGTCGTCCTCATAGCGCAGGTGGATGCTGGTGATCTTCACCTGCAGGTTTTTGATCACCTGTGTCGCCAACTTCTCCATAAACGTGTCTTTCTTCTCGTCCTGAGGTTTGGCTGGAACAGACAGAACCACACAGACCGGACCAGGACTTAGGACCTGAACACTAGTGAGTCTGGGACTGAGGTCTGAACACGGACGTGAACACGACTCAACCATTCACTCCAGTAAAACCAGACTGAGACCAGGACTTGACCTTTGACCTCCAGACTATCAGAAATACATGTCAATTTATTCTAATGTAAAACATTAAAACACCCACTTATTCTGAACTCAGATTAAGGTCAGACTAAGGTCAGACTAGGGCGGTTCTCAGATTAAGATCAGACTAAGGTCAGACTAGGGCGGTCCACTTGACCCCACACTCACCTGCTCCACTGTCATGTCCTTTCAGCTTCTTTAAGCCTTTTTTGGCTTTTTTACATTTTTTACTTCCTTTCGACACTTTGGCAGCGTTAGAGGGAGAAACAGCCGTTAGTGACAGAGAAGCTCAGAAACACAGGCTGAAGAAACGAACACAGAGAATCAGAGTGGACGAAGACCAACTGCAGAGTAACGCTTGATGACGCCACACATTTATACTGTGTCCAGGTGTGTGTGTGTGTGTGGTTACCGTTGTGTGTCTCCTGGTAAACCACATTCTGTAGACTGAAGATCAGCTCTCTAGACTGAGAAGCTGACAGCAAACGCAGCATGAAGATGACAGACAGAGGTTAACACACCTGTGTCTGTGTGTGTGTGTGTGTGTGTGTGTGTAGACGTACTCCAATCACAAGACAGAAGGGAAACAAAGAAGATAAAGAATGATATAAGAAACCACAGTTTAGTTTACATTTATTAAATGGAATAAAAACTGAAATCTGAAGTTTGGAAATTGGCACTAAAAGACAAAGATTTTAAATACAATCTCTTTGTGACTCTGTGTTGGTCTTTTTTTTTTCAATTGAATTGGGTTTTTTTGCTTTAAAATTGAGGTGAATTAGGGAAGTTCAGATTTCAGTTATTTTTAGAAACAGAAGTTTTTAGGAAACAGGAAAGTTTACAAGCATCCAGGTATGACAGTGTCAGTCACTGGAGAGTTGACAAAAGGTCAGGAGCTCAGGAGGTCAGAGGCCTCACCTCGCTTCGCAGATATCTGTAAGGCCTCCTCGATGCGCTGCAGCTCCTTCTGCTTCGCCTCCTGCTGGTAACGCTCCTCCTTTGCAGCGTCATATTTTATAGCTAAAAAGAAGAAAAACGAAATAAAAATTCAGAGCAAACAGATGCCCTGTGTGTCTTCCACCCCGAGGCCTGACCTCCTCAGGGGTAAAACTTCAACTCCACCTGCTACACTTGACATTAACAAGTGGCAACAGAACGAAAGGGAAACTGCAGGTTTGATCATCAGAGACACACCCACCCTGAATCACGGTGTGACCAACACAGCATCAGTCAACAGCTGATTGGCTGTCAGCATCTAGAAGAGTGGGAACTAGAGTATGCAGCAGACATTATGAACAGACGTAGTCTTATGGTTTCAACAAACTCTAACCACTGGTTTTCTCTGGAAACAGGAAAATAATTAACAGAAAAAAAAACCTCCTCTCAAATAGAACCTGACTTGTTTTCTGTTGATTTTTTTCTCACTTTGGATTAAAAAACGTTGATAATTCTTTCAGTTTTGAACCCTAATTTTTACAGACTTCATTTTCAACACATTTTCTGCCAGCAGGGGTCATCCTAGAGTGTCTACGTCCATCAAACCAAAAGACTACGTCCATTTGTCATTGGATGTGTGTTGGAAACTGGAAAAAAATCCCAGACCGAAACAAGAGGATGGCAGACCCCAGTGGAAACAGTTCCAGGACTGAACTACAGGGGGAGCACACAGAACAGTCTGTCGTTCTGCAGCCTTCACCAGAAATACACCATCCTGAGCCTGAACAATCTTACCGTTATAGGGACATGTGATCAGCTGAGATCCAGCTAGAACACACACACACAGGTGCACAAAAACAACGACTAAGAACACACGCTCAGACGATCAGAGACAGAGTCTGTCACTGGAACACAATAAAACAAGGGTCAGTCAAAAGGTTCTGGACAAAATAAAACGATTTGATTTTATAAACAAAGCTCCAGTCTGAAGTCTCAACACTTCAATGGAAACTGCAGCAATGTTTCCAAAAGAGAATTCCCAGGGTTAGGGTTAGGGTCCCGGTGGTAACCTTCCACTGTTCTAGTGTTAAAGTCTTTAAATGAACTGAGCTGTTCCTTCAGATGAGGACCACCTGACCATGGTTATGGCCAGGTGGTCCTCAGCTGTCCATCACTTACTGGCTCCAGGAACAACCAGAAGGTAGAGTCCGTCCAGCGTGGCCACCACCGCGTCGTTGTAAAGGTTCTTCCATGGAATCTTCAGCGTCAGCTTCCCTGAATCGGCCAGAGGAATTGGGTTTGTACAAATACAGACATTGAGCCGGACCAACGAGGCCAAAGCAAACGATCATGTGACTCACCTATCTGTCCGGTCTTGACTTTGAATGGAACATCAAATTCACTCTGTAACATAAACAAACAATCAGATGTTTCTCTGTGTACACAAGGCGTTGGACCGACGCTACCTAACTACCACCACTGCTTCAGAGCTGAGGCAGACGCACCATAACATTAATCAACACCATCTGATGTTATTATACAGTAGCCCAAAGGTCCCACACCTCATACTGCAAGGTTCAAGTGTCTAACTCATGGACTAGCTCTGGCTGATCCCATAGACTAGAGTGGTGCAGTGGACCCCGCCCATAGACTAGAGTGGTGCAGTGGACCCTTTGATTTCATCTAGTCATCTAGACCCTTTGATTTCATCTAGTCCTCAAATCCACTGTGGTGACCTCTGACACGGGGTCTGACAAGTTACAGTCACATATTAAAAAGAACCCAGAAGTTCATTCTCAACATTTAGTTACGGTGGCATGATCTTGACCCACCACACGGGGCCTGACATTAGTAGTCCAGACCTGGGGCTAAAACTTCATCTGAATCTTTACTCTTAAATGCTACAATAAAAACATGATTAAATTGATTTGACACTGATTTTCTGTTCTGTGTCGACTCACTCCCACAGTGAAGTGTACATTTCTTCTTTCTCCTTCTGTTTCCCAGCAGACACCTGGAGGTGTTGCGTCTTTTGTTTGTGTTTTTTGTTAACCTCTCATGAAGTCCTCACAAACAAAAGCTCCCACAGAAAAACCAGCCCTAAAACCTGACACCACAGCACCAGGCAGTCCAGTCAACCTCAACTCTTTGGTCAAGTTTTCTTAGTGTTTTTGTAGTATATTAAAAAAAAACTTTTTCTTCTTCTTTGTTCTTAACAATAAATTTAGCAGGGGGATACATTTAAAACCTTAGGTTTGCAAAAAAATGTTTTAAAAAGTTTAAAATACCTTCATAGAATGTAAGTGCTTCGTGTTTCTTTAAGTTTTATGTCTATACTATTTCATATTTTTCCTTCACTCGTTAAATTTAACGAGTGAAGAATAACTAACCAAATATGATTACGCTTTGTTTTTGACCAGCAGGGGTCAGTGTCCATGACTCACCAGAGCATTTTCCTTCACTCTCAGGTTTTCCAGTACCACGTTTCCTGCACAATGAGAAAAAAAAAGAATCGACTTAAGAAACATGAACTGATGACGTTCGTTCTTAAATGTAAACAATCGCCATCTTTATTTCCTGTTCTATGGCTCTCCTCCCCCACGTCACGCACTTCCTTATCACCCATCTCTCCCACCCTCATGTCAACTTCTATTTCAGCCTGCTTCTCTGCAGCTTTACTCCACCGTAATTCTCCCCCTGTCTTATCACCACCTCACCCATATCAGTGATGCCACTTGTCTCCCCCCGACTCCCACCTCTCACTCACACTCCCCTGCCCTGACACTGGTCTCCTCAACTCCCCTCAGCTTGTTGTTGTTTTCCTCTACATTTTCCCTGATGGTGTTCTCCAGCTACTAAACCAGAAACCCACACCACCTGTCTCCACCTTAACTACAACTCTGCTCTCATTTTTTTTCTCTCCTAAACTCATCTCTAAGATATTCTTACTGACAACAAAGAGCATTTGAAACAGTATTCCCCTGAGTAAGCCCGTTGTTTAGCCACAGTCAGTGTTTGTACTGATTGTACAGCCTCGGTGAAGCAGCTCGTCTTCATTGGCCCTGCCCTGTTTTTTAAAAAAAGAACATAATGCCGCAGAGTTTTCACATTCCTGTGTTAAAACTGTTCTCCTGCGTAAGGCTATGAAGCAGAAGACAGAAGTGACCTGTGAAGTGAAGTGGTTGTTTGTTATTTTAAAACAAGTCATCTATGATGTTTCTCTGACTTTAAGTCAAGTCATTCATTTTAATCAGCTGCCTGTCCAGTTTAGCTTCCCCGCCCTTCGATCTCTGCATTACTGTTATGTGACGTTTATAACAATTACGGTGAATCTGCTTTATACTACGTTCAATTTTGAATTAGAAGACCGCTGTGGTGAACATTTAGCACTAAAATCCAATTATAAGTTGTTAACAACGTTGCTGCAACACAATGTAATCTTTCGGTGAGCAACCTGTGAACCAACAATGCTTTTAATCAACTGTTTATCATTTAAACGTGGAGCAACAAATTCGCTCAAATTCCCGTTAAGTGCCATGGTGTTTAAAGCCATACATTAGGCGGGTAGATAGTTTGAGTAGGTAGGGATTTTCATAAAAACGAAACTGAAACATGTTTATTAAACACAGCCGATATTGGCACAAGAACCTGAAGTTTTATTCTGGGTATGTGAACATGTTTCTAGCCTCATATACAATTGTAGAGAAAACAAAGATTGTTAATTCATGAAATTTGTGAACGGGAACTGTTGTGTGTCAGAGGCTAGCTTGCAGCGAATCTCACCTCCCCAGATCCCGATCTTGAGTTGAGATTTGTCCAGGTTCTCCACATAGTCTCCGATGAACCTATTGAGCAGGTCACTAACCATAGACTCGAAGACCATGGCTCCAAACTCTGGACTGAACCCTGACAGAGCAGGGTCAGCGTCTGGAAGCTCTTCGGTTCGGATTCACCTGACTTCCGGATCAGGTGACGACAGAAAACAAGGATCGACTCGCTCTGAATTCCATTGCTAATGTCCGACTGTTCGGACTTCGATCAGGAAGTGTTTTATTTTTATTCATTCCATTTGTCTTTCTAGAAGGAAATTGTGTTTACGTTGATTAAATAATTATACTCCATAAACTAACACGTATTTGTTGATATAAACCATAACGACATTAACATAAGTCAGTGTAAATCGACGAGCGTAAAAACAGGTTCAACCTATCTGTGTTTTTATATAAAAAGTCATGAAGGAAAAATAAAACACTCGGCAAAACTAATACTTTAAATAAAAGGAACAGAACGTAGTACGAGCCGATAAGACATGAAAGGCACACAGAAATAAAAACAAATGAATTAAATAAAGATTTGTTTACACTCCATGGAGCCTGAATTTAGCGTTATAACCACTAACGTTTACCTGGAGGAGCTTTAAAAGACACCGTGATATTGTCTTAAATGTGAATGGTCGAGCAGTTGGCTTCGAGATATTTCGAATTTGGCCCTTAAAAAAACAGTGTTGCTTTACTGTCTCTACACAGACCCCTAGTGGTTAGTCTTAAAACTTCAACTCACCAGTGTTCTCCAGTGTTCCCACAGCTGTATCTCCGGCTGAAACAGTGTCAGTGAGTCTGTTGTTGTTGTTGTTGCTGCTGTAGTGGAGACAGTAAATACAATTTCCCGTCATCAGCGGCCTCTGCCCGGAGGAACACCGGGCTCCACAGTTCAGGGAATCAGTGCCGTAACGGCAGCTGAAGTGGACGGAAGCTTTAACGAAGCAGTGCTGCAGAGGCCATTCACAGATAATAAGTGAAGCGGTGAACTAGAAGAGGGAATATTACAGGTTAATGACAGTCAGCGTTTGCACTTAAGTCGCTCCATTCACCAAAGACAAACACTAATCTATAGAATAAAAACACAGTGTTCTCCTACATTCTATATTTATTTTTAAAGCCCAACGTTTGTTATTAAAAGAATGTGCTCAGTAAATCTGCTCCTGCTTTAACATGGTGACAGACGTGTCCTGTTAATATGTGTTCTTGTTGGTCAATAACTCTTAGATCAGTGTGTTTTACTGCTAACTTACTTCGTAAGTTTATGAAGGATTCACTCTTCAACACAAAAGTTCATTGAGAAAATCAACCATTTTAGCTAGCCAGGACTAGAGATTAGCCGAATAGTTTTTTGGGGTCAAATTTAATATAAAATGAAACATAACTGCTGTATGACTATATGTTAGTTTTATTGACAGTGACCAGATGTTTTTGGTTTGTGGGTAACCCGTTTGATGACATCATCAACTCTGTCAGTCAGATGACTGGAATTCATTGTTTTTATGTTTTAAAATCAAATAAAACTGATGAAGCTGAAATGAAGGACACGCCCCCTCACGCTCCTGGTCGTGTCACGTGACCTGCGTCCTAGCGTCCTGTGCTGTGGTTTTTAAATGACCAGTCATCGACTCAGGGTCGGAGACAGAGAGGCAGAAAGTTCCAGAATAAGGTTGGTCATTTTACACATTTTTTACACCCTAACAAAAAAACTTTCATTTTTTGTGCTTTTTGAGTTTTTCCTGAAATGTTTTACATTATTATGTTGTTTATATTTGTTATTTGTTGCATATATTTCATGTTAATGTCTAAATCTGTCATGTATTATTTATGATTATTATTATTATTAAGTCGACATTTTTCCACCATCAACAGATGAAACTGACATCTGTCAAAGCTGAAGGTTTGGTAATACTGTGCAGTATTGCAGTACTTATGCAGTATTACCATTTTCTATGACCAAGAAACCACTCTTTATGCTTCATAAGAATGTTTTATTTAATATTTTTATTATTAAGATAAGTTACTTTTTCACTTTTTAGAACTTTCCTTGTTGTGTTTGCTACATTTTTAAACAACTTTATTTTATTAAAATGTACTGTATTTATTTATTATATTGCTGTGTACGATTTTTGTTTCCATTTTTTTTGTTTTCCTGTTTCCTTTCATTTTCATTATTCATTTTATTATTTGTATTTTTGTGAAGTTTTTACATTTTCTGTTCCTTTTTGTTTGAAGTTCTTCTGTGTATTTTTTTTTCTTTTTTCAATTGTTTTGATTTCTTTATGCGTAGAGAAAAAACATTCATTGATAGTATTTTATAAGATCTTGGATTTTTTTTTTGCATTTCAACGAAAGGTCTGTTGGTAATCATGTGACCTACTGTATATCCCTGCCCACAGACGCTGTGTGTGTTCTGACACTAAGGATCGTGGGAGTTTTTCTCTACTTTCTTTGTTGGGATGTTTGTCTCGCTGCTGCTCTGCTGCTCTTTTAGCCTCCTACGTTATTCCTTCGCTCTGGTTCATGGAAATGTGCCACTGAACGACGACCCCCCCGACCCCTCCTACCTCTCTGACATCAGTTAGTAACTCCTCCAATCACGTCTCAGCTCTGATCCATTTTCAGTCTTATGCATAAATGTAGTATCATCTGCATAGAAACGGATGTTGTTAGATTTAGGTACACCAGTGTGATAGCCTCGTACCAGTTCATAGGTTTTGCCAAATCAGGTTATCTGTTTTCCTGGAACTGTTGTTTCTATAATAGAGAACTGGGTTATGACGCCAAAGTTCCAGAATTTATTCCGAACAGACGGTCTTTCAAGTCTAGATAAAAAAATAAAATCACAAGGAAAAAAATCAGAATCTGCAGAAAACATTCATTAATTTTAATATGTTTTCTTTTTAGTTTGTTTTAAATGTGATGTCATAATTCCATGGCTCCTTCTATAGGCTGCACCTTTTAAATGGTATGTGGCAAATGGTTAGCGCAGGTTTTTCATCTTTTTTGTTTTGCAGACAGAGGCCACCCCCCCCTACAGGAGCCCGTCCTGCTGCCCATTGACTCCGTGGAGGACCGCTTCCTGATGGACCTGGGCTCCTACAACGACGTTAGTGCCGCTGTCTCTATAAGTCATCGAGTCTTTCTTTTTCACCAGTGGTTGTTAACGTGTCACACATTGACTCTTTTCAGGACGTGGGGGCGGCGTCACTGCAGCTACAGGGGCGGGCCATGCGGTCGCCACGCCGCTGCATCCCACACCAGCAGTCGTGTCTGGGGTTCCCGCTGCCCTGCTGTGACCCCTGCGACACCTGCTACTGCCGCTTCTTCAATGCTATATGCTACTGTCGCAAAGTGGGCCACCACTGCCCAGCCCGACGAGCCTGACGCTGTGTTCTGTCAACGGTTTTCTGTGTCAAAAAAACTTCATCCCTGAAACAATGACCAATAAACGAAAACTGCTGCAAAGACGAAGCTGGGAGCCTCAGTTTGTTTGACACATCCTGGTGTGTGTGTAGGCTGAACACACGAGCTGGAGGATGGGGGTGGGGAGGAATCGAGGAGCAGAGGTGTCAAAAAACATCAAGGTCAGAGTTACAGAAATAATAATAAATAAATAATATATGAATAAATGTCAAATTATGAATTTTGAAATAAAGCTGCACCAACAGCAGTAGAACCAGTGGACACGACGACACGGTGGTATCAGATACTCTGTCATTTATTGATCAGTTTATTGATGACATTTGGGGCTCAGTTGGCAGCGATCTTCTGGTCCATCCAGGCACGGAGCTCAGTGACACGGGCGTAGACACCAGGCATAGTGGGAGTGCAGGTTCCACTTCCCCAGGACACGATACCAACCAGAGTCCAGGCCCCGCCCTTCTGACACACCAGGGGTCCACCAGAGTCACCCTGTAAACAAAAGAGACCAAAGGTCAACCAGCCGGTCACCCACAGCTCAGAATGTTAGCCAGATGCTGTGTGATGTTAGCTAGATGCTACACATTGTCAGCAGTGGCACGTACCATACAGGAGGAGGCGCCGGCGGCACCAGCACAGATCATCTTGTCTGTGATTTTACTACCCCAGTAACGCTGGCAGTCAGAGTTGGCCAGCAGGGGCAGGGCAGCCTGCTGCAGCAGGGCGGGGGTGTTAGAAGCTACGCACAAAAACAAAGAACAAATGGTGAAGATTCTATTAAATTAGCAATACTACGGTGTACAACCGTCGACGGCTGACAGACTGTCACGATCACAACAGCAGCACCTTGAGGCGCAAACACAGATTACTACTTCCTGTCTCCAATCCTGTTGTTCTCATTGGCTGTCAGCAAAACACGTGATTAATTCACTCCACTTCCTGTTTGAGTCCATATTCATCTCAAATCATCAGTCACACAATCACAGACTGTTGTTAGCCTCGTTAGCTTCCTGCCCCCAGCTGTGGTACACTGGTGCAGATCGTGCCCCACTAGGAATCGTGGGTGAACAATGGCAAAAATGTTGTGGTGATGTCATCAACTCGACATCTTTATGACTTGATACTAGCAGTACCAAGCTGCTCCACTAGGTGGCTGTCTTGTTGGTCTCACCATTGTAGCGGGTCAGACCCCAGCCGCTGGTCACACACATCATGCCCCCGGGGAAGTTGTCTCCAATCTCGGCCACACACACAGGAGACACGCGCATGTTCAACTGAGCGGGTGAAGCTAGCTTGATGAGCAGGATGTCGTTGTTAATGGTGTAGCCGTTGTAGTTCTCGTGTTTGAACACCTGTCAGAAAAGAGAGCGGGGTCATGTGAGCAGTAAAAAAAAACATTAAAAAAGCCCCACCAGCGTCACTCACCTGGCCCACTCTCATGACCTGGACGTTCTCGCTGCCAGAGGAACGGTTATGTTCTCCAAGGACAACACGGTGGGAAGTTCTGTTCTCAGGAGGGAACAGATCAGATCAACAACCGGAACCTTGGCGTTTAGAGATGTCGACTGTTGTATAACATCAGGTTGGCTTAAACAGGAGACTTTAATTCATTTCTTAATAAAAGAAATAATAACTGACCTGACGTTGCAGTGGGCGGCGGTCACCACCCAGTTCTCATTGATCAGAGATCCACCGCAGAAGTGGAAACCGGTGTAGTCCTGGAACACAGGCACAACCTCACTACACACCCTCGGTGTGTATCTGTGTGTGGATGGCTTGGTTTGTGTGTGTAAATGTACTGGTGCTTGTTTACCTGCAGGGACACCTGCCAGGGCCAGGAATGAGGCACGGCCTCCTCGCCATTCACGATACGGGAGTAACCCGAGACGATGGGTTGGATGGCAGGAGTGCCGCACCCTGGTGGTGACATCATTGTTGGCAAAAGAAAAACACAATTACATATTTCTAAATCACATTTGATAAAATTTATTATTTTGTCTAATGACATAACAACACTTCACACTTAAAACCAAGATGGCCGCTCATCCAGTAGGATGAAGACGGAGCACCAACACCTGTCGAGTGGTAGACCTACCGTAGGCGGAGGTCACGAGGGCGAGGCAGGACAGGATCCACAGGAAGGCCATGGTTCAATGATCACGTCTGAGCGGACGACCAGCTTTTATACAGAAACACCATCAGACCACGACACCAGGTGACGCCGGGTCGGAGGACGTGGGAGCGTGGACAGCTGACGGAAAGTTTGTCCTCGGGACAACAATCTGTGGCATTCATGTAAACCAGGAAAACAGAGCGCTGTCAGAAGAACGACGACTTTCTTCAAATATTTTGTACCTGGTGAAAACATGAACGTGATAAAAAATACTTAAACTTATATATACTACTTATATATACTTTAAAAATTAAAACAATTAAAATAAAATGGAAAACAAATGACATTTAATTGATCAAAATGATTTTAAATTGGTTCAATAGTGATCGAATGTACTGATGTGTGTGTGACGGTTCGTGTATGTGTGTGTTGAAAGTCACTTGTTTTCTAACAAGTGTGTGATTCTCACCAGGAGGTTGTCTGATTAAACCCTGAAAACACACCTGTGTGTGTGTGTGTGTGTGTGTGTGAATCTGTTTTAGGACCATGACTCTATAGAAATATTACCTCAGTAGTATTCAGTACTACATTCTTTAGTTTTCTGTGCATATTGAGATTAAACACGTGTCTCCCGACCTTGGAGTGGTACCTAGTACACACCCTTGGTTGGATGGTGTAGGGGTGGAGCTGAGGCTGGGGTGGGGGGTCACATCTGGACAGTTGTGTACAGTACTGTGAGTTAATATTGTTAACTAGGTAACTAGAGTTGGTGACTGAGTCACAGCTGAGTCACAGATTTAATTTGAACTAATTTTTAGTTTGTTTTTTGTAGTAAAGACCAAATGAAGCAGCAGGAAATAAACACTGAGGTTCAACTCTTTTATTGATGGTTCTGACTCCATGTACACACAACCAAAGGTCAGGGTCAGAGGTCATACAGGGCCATATCTCCCTGTCACCCCCCTCACTGTCTTTAGTTGGCAGCAAGAGTCTGGTCGACCCAGCTGCGGAGCATGGTGACACGGGCGTAGACGGCTGGGGTGGAGGTGGAGCAGCGGCTGCTTCCCCAGGACACGATACCCACCAGAGTCCAGGCGTTGTCCTTCTCACACACCAGGGGGCCACCAGAGTCACCCTGAAAACCAGAGTCAGAGCGGGTGAGGCAGAGGCAACACACATGAACAAAACGTGGTGGACGGGGTCTTACCATGCAGGAGGTGGCGCCAGCTCCACCGGCACAGATCATGACATCAGAGATGTTGCTGCCCCAGTGTCTCTTGCACTGTTCGTTGGACAGCAGGGGGAGGGCTGCCTGCTGGAGCCTGTTGGGGGTGGTGGCAGCTGAAGGAGACCAGACATGGAGAGCGTTAGAACTTCCTGTGAACGTGACATCAACACGTGACCAATGTTACAGGTTCCATCTCACCGTTGTAGCGGGTCAGACCCCAGCCGGAGGTCACACAGGTGGTGCCAGCAGCGAAGTTGTCGCTGGACTCAGCCAGGCAGACGGGGGAGACGTTGGTGCCCAGGCGGGCGGGGGTGGACAGCTTGATCAGGGCGATGTCGTTGTTGATGGTGCTGGGGTTCCATCTGGGGTGGGTTAAGACCTAAAAGAAAAAGGGTGGGGTCAGCAGGGCAGGAGTGACAGCTGATGAGATGATGGCGGCGAACGTTCTCACCTTGATGGGCTTCAGGATCTGAACCTGCTCGTTTCCATAGCTTTTGTCGTGTTCACCAACGACCACGCGGTGGTAGGTCCTGAGGGGCGCGGTGAACAGGAAGTAAGTGGTGAGTGGATTCTGTTAAAATCTAAACGTCCTCCACTGTTGGTCGACTGCTAATCGCCGGCTTAGATCGACAATGTATATAAATATATACATATATATATATAAATATAAATAGTATCTTACTATTTTGTAGAACACATAGATATTATGTTTGTATTAATTTTGCCCTTTTTAACAATTGTTGTGCTGTTTTTCCACCAGTTATTCCATAATAGTTAGTTTATTTCTGAAAGCTAACGTCGGTTGTTGTTTTACAGCATCGTGTGAAACTGTCGCTGATAAACAGTCGCTTTTCGCTCTGACGTTGGTTTTAGGATTTTTGATCAACCTAAAATCACCAGTTCAAAGGTGAAAGTGTCTTTCAGTGGGATACGCTACAGCTAGCGTGATGCTAGGTGTGAGGTTGTTGTGCAGCTGACCTGACGTTGCAGTGGGCGGCAGTCACGACCCAGTTCTCATTGATCAGAGATCCACCGCAGAAGTGGAAACCGGTGGATTGCTGAAAAAAAAAAATACTGAGTCAAAGAGAAAGACGAGGAGGAGGAGGAGGAGGGTTTCTGGTGTCGACTCACCTGCAGAGACACCTGCCAGGGCCAGGAGTGAGGTTTGGCCTCCTCACCGTTGACGATGCGGGCGTAGCCGGTCACCACAGGGGTGATGGCGGGGGTTCCGCAGCCTGAGGGGGGGGTGACAGGTGACAAGTGTTAAATTCTGCTGTTTTAGTCTGATCATAAATCTAGACCTAGACCTGGACCTAAACCTGACCAGGACCCAGGTCAGGTTCTTGACAATTCTGAGGAGGATGAAAAGTGACGGTCATTAAAGGACCAGTCTGCTGGTTTATACTGGTTCATTTAAACATATTTGAACCAGTAGAGGGCAGCAGAGATATACTCACAAAGTCAGTTCTTAAACAACAAATTTAAAAAACAGTTTGAATTGACGCAGGAGGAGAGGCTGACCATAGGCGGCGCCGATCAGGGCGAGGCAGGAGAAGATCCACAGGAAGGCCATGATGATGGAGAGAAGATGCCGCTGAACTCAAAATGACATTTAATTGATCAAAATGATTTTAAATTGGTTCAATAGTGATCGAATGTACTGATGTGTGTGTGACGGTTCGTGTATGTGTGTGTTGAAAGTCACTTGTTTTCTAACAAGTGTGTGATTCTCACCAGGAGGTTGTCTGATTAAACCCTGAAAACACACCTGTGTGTGTGTGTGTGTGTGTGAATCTATTTTTAGGACCATGACTCTATAGAAATATTACCTCAGTAGTATTCAGTACTACATTCTTTAGTTTTCTGTGCATATTGAGATTAAACACGTGTCTCCCGACCTTGGAGTGGTACCTAGTACACACCCTTGGTTGGATGGTGTAGGGGTGGAGCTGAGGCTGGGGTGGGGGGTCACATCTGGACAGTTGTGTACAGTACTGTGAGTTAATATTGTTAACTAGGTAACTAGAGTTGGTGACTGAGTCACAGCTGAGTCACAGATTTAATTTGAACTAATTTTTAGTTTGTTTTTTGTAGTAAAGACCAAATGAAGCAGCAGGAAATAAACACTGAGGTTCAACTCTTTTATTGATGGTTCTGACTCCATGTACACACAACCAAAGGTCAGGGTCAGAGGTCATACAGGGCCATATCTCCCTGTCACCCCCCTCACTGTCTTTAGTTGGCAGCAAGAGTCTGGTCGACCCAGCTGCGGAGCATGGTGACGCGGGCGTAGACGGCTGGGGTGGAGGTGGAGCAGCGGCTGCTTCCCCAGGACACGATACCCACCAGAGTCCAGGCGTTGTCCTTCTCACACACCAGGGGGCCACCAGAGTCACCCTGAAAACCAGAGTCAGAGCGGGTGAGGCAGAGGGAACACACATGAACACAACGTGGTGGGCGGGGTCTTACCATGCAGGAGGTGGCGCCAGCTCCACCGGCACAGATCATAACATCAGAGATGTTGCTGCCCCAGTGTCTCTTGCACTGGTCGTTGGACAGCAGGGGGAGGGCTGCCTGCTGGAGCCTGTTGGGGGTGGTGGCAGCTGAAGGAGACCAGACATGGAGAGCGTTAGAACTTCCTGTGAACGTGACATCAACACGTGACCAATGTTACAGGTTCCATCTCACCGTTGTAGCGGGTCAGACCCCAGCCGGAGGTCACACAGGTGGTGCCAGCAGCGAAGTTGTCGCTGGACTCAGCCAGGCAGACGGGGGAGACGTTGGTGCCCAGGCGGGCGGGGGTGGACAGCTTGATCAGGGCGATGTCGTTGTTGATGGTGCTGGGGTTCCATCTGGGGTGGGTTAAGACCTAAAAGAAAAAGGGTGGGGTCAGCAGGGCAGGAGTGACAGCTGATGAGATGATGGCGGCGAACGTTCTCACCTTGATGGGCTTCAGGATCTGAACCTGCTCGTTTCCATAGCTTTTGTCGTGTTCACCAACGACCACGCGGTGGTAGGTCCTGAGGGGCGCGGTGAACAGGAAGTAAGTGGTGAGTGGATTCTGTTAAAATCTAAACGTCCTCCACTGTTGGTCGACTGCTAATCGCCGGCTTAGATCGACAATGTATATAAAAAAAAAAAAAAAATATATATATATATATATATAAATATAAATAGTATCTTACTATTTTGTAGAACACATAGATATTATGTTTGTATTAATTTTGCCCTTTTTAACAATTGTTGTGCTGTTTTTCCACCAGTTATTCCATAATAGTTAGTTTATTTCTGAAAGCTAACGTCGGTTGTTGTTTTACAGCATCGTGTGAAACTGTCGCTGATAAACAGTCGCTTTTCGCTCTGACGTTGCTTTTAGGATTTATGATCAACCTAAAATCACCAGTTCAAAGGTGAAAGTGTCTTTCAGTGGGATACGCTACAGCTAGCGTGATGCTAGGTGTGAGGTTGTTGTACAGCTGACCTGACGTTGCAGTGGGCGGCAGTCACGACCCAGTTCTCATTGATCAGAGATCCACCGCAGAAGTGGAAACCGGTGGATTGCTGAAAAAAAAAAATACTGAGTCAAAGAGAAAGACGAGGAGGAGGAGGAGGAGGGTTTCTGGTGTCGACTCACCTGCAGAGACACCTGCCAGGGCCAGGAGTGAGGTTTGGCCTCCTCACCGTTGACGATGCGGGCGTAGCCGGTCACCACAGGGGTGATGGCGGGGGTTCCGCAGCCTGAGGGGGGGGGTGACAGGTGACAAGTGTTAAATTCTGCTGTTTTAGTCTGATCATAAATCTAGACCTAGACCTGGACCTAAACCTGACCAGGACCCGGGTCAGGTTCTTGACAATTCTGAGGAGGATGAAAAGTGACGGTCATTAAAGGACCAGTCTGCTGGTTTATACTGGTTCATTTAAACATATTTGAACCAGTAGAGGGCAGCAGAGATATACTCACAAAGTCAGTTCTTAAACAACAAATTTAAAAACAGTTTGAATTGACGCAGGAGGAGAGGCTGACCATAGGCGGCGCCGATCAGGGCGAGGCAGGAGAAGATCCACAGGAAGGCCATGATGATGGAGAGAAGATGCCGCTGAACTCAGTCCACGCCGTTTTATCCTGAAACGCACACTGGCTTCAGCCAATCAGAGGCCACGGCCTGTTGTCCAGCTGAGCAGCAGCTGTTTATCACAGTTCAGGACCCACGGTTCACACCCCCTGACCTGGGGCTCTCTGATTGGCTGCTGCCATGTGTTTAACAAAATTCAACAAATTCAGAAGTCGGTGTTTGGATTATTTATAAGGATTAAATAGTATTATAAAAATTCAGAATTTTCCCCATTTTTAAAAATATTAAAAAATAAATTTGCACCCCAGAAATGTACTATTAATTAATT